GTCCTTTGCCCGCACCTCCGCACGGAGGTTGGAACCCAGCTAGCAGAGCGTGTGAGTAACGGGACAAAAAAAAGAGAGAGAGAGAGAAAAGTATTTATCCATCTCAATGAATTCGAAACAATCATCCTCCCCTCCTCCCCTTCGTCTTTTTCTTGGTTTCGTTCAGGTATGAGGAAGGAGCCTCTCTGCCCCGAGGTCCCTATGAAACCGCTCTACTGGACAAGGATTTTGGTGCCTGTAGTACCGACAGAGCGTGGTGGCTCCACCGATGTTACGGATTCGCCCGTCCACGTAAGTGTCATTTCTTTCCCCGGATGGGGAAAGAAGCGGGGCAGAATTTTATTGTTGGTTGTTTCGCAGATCCCGCTGTGGGCGGAGCTAGAGGAAGAGAAAAACTTGGACATGAAAGAGTTCGCCGGCCTTTTCTCGCGTCAGGTAACCGCGTCAAGAAAGCCGGTGAAAAGAACGGACGAGGCCACGAAGCCGTCTAAAGTGCAGCCGGCTAAGATCCTCGACTCGAAGCGGTCCAAGACGGTCGGTATACTCGAGAAGAGTTTGCGCGTCGATTTTTGCGAGGTGGAGAACGCCGTTTACAATTTGGACACAAGCGTGATCAACTTGGAAGCGTTGCAACAGATATACGAGATCGTAGGTATACGTGATTTCAAAAATTACCACCGTATCTCGACGAAACGAGGTTATACTAATTATAACCTAAAAAATTTTTAACCTATCATCCGCGTGGCAGAGGCCGACGAAGAAAGAATTGGAGGATATAAAAGCTTTCGAGGCCGCGAATCCCGACGTTCCCCTCGATCAACCGGAGATTTTCCTCAAGAAGTTGGCCGATATCAATCACTTCTCGGAGAGGATAGCGTGTTTGATGTTCCAAGCAGAGTTCCAGGACGCGATCTCGAACGTCTCGTCGAAATTGACGAATCTGCGCAGCACCTGCGACTTCTTGAGAAACTCTAGCTCCCTGAAGAGGGTCATGGCGTTGATCCTCACGTTCGGCAATTACATGAACGGCGGGAACAGGACGCGTGGGCAGGCGGACGGTTTCGGTCTCGAGATTCTAGGGAAATTGAAGGACGTCAAGTCGAACGTGGCAGGTGTCACGTTGCTCCACTACATCGTCAGGGCGAGATTGGCCCAGGAGAGGGATCACAATTTCGACGAGCCTTTGCCCCTCCCGATTCCGGAACCGGCCGACATGGAGGCGGCGTCCACCATAAATTTTGAAAATCTGTCCGCCGAGTTGGACAGGTTGAGAAACGAGCTCGAAGGTAAACGCGATTGCATACGATTTTTTCCCCCGTTTTCTTCTCTCCACTGTTACTCGTTCGTTTTTCGTCACGAAGGTTGTATCGAGAAGTGTAACGCGGTGGTCGAGGCGGATCCCGATTCGTCGGCCCCGTTCAAGGAGAAAATGGACGCGTTTTTCCGCGAGGCGAGGGCAGAATTGGCGAACGAGCAGCAGGCACTGCTCGAAGCGAGGAGCAAATTCAAGGCTGTGATGCAATTCTACCAGTATAAGCCGAAAGGGACGAATCTCGACGCGGCTGATCCAAACGCGTTCTTCGCCCTTTGGCTAGGTTTTTGCCAGGACTTCAAGGTACGCGGTTTCGTTCTAACCTTTAGAACCGATCCAATTTGTTACGAATACGTCGTTACAGGATATCTGGAAGAAGGAGCAGCAACGAATAAAGAAGGAACGGATGGAGGAGATGAAGAAGAAGTACGAGAACAAGACGAAGGTGGAGAAGCTGAAATTAAGCGCCACGGGGTTGAAGGCACGGCTTCAAAAATTGTCGCGAAAGTAGAAAAGAGAAAGAAAGAAAAAATATATATGTATGTATACACACACAGACGCAAAAGGCGACTTCGATCTTGGATCGCTAATGGTCGATAATGGCGATCCCAATTTAATCGGAGGAATGTTCGAGCGAGGATCGATACCACTACGCTATAACGTACATGTCACGGCTATATGTCACGGAGAAACGAGTTTCTTTGGATCGATCGTGTCCGTTCCGCTCGATCCGTCCTTTATTATTCTTCTACGGCACTAAAGTTTCATCGAATTTGAATAACGCTGATAGATAAGAATCGAGAATACGAGAGAATCTGAGAATTGTAATATTGTAAATAAGGCTTGTTGTTAAGTTTGCGTATATAATTTGTTATAATTTGTAAATACGATTGTTCCGCGAATGAAATATTCGGATAATTATAATAAACGTTACTTTTTACACGAATCCTCTTTTCTTTCTTTCTTCTTTTTTTCCCTCCCCGCTCGAACCTTGTTATACTCCCGGATGGAAAGGAGAGGGGAATGGTGAAAGTGATCTCGTCGTGTTGCTTCTTTTCATTTTTTTCCATATC